CTGGAGAAGCCACTAGAAAATGGAAATACCAAAACTAAGAAGTGAAAATCAAATATGTCTAAACTTCACATAGTTCAGTAGTATGACGAAGAAGTGAAAGTAACATCCAAAGTTCCTAACTAAATTGTTTCCTACATAAATGGAAAGAGAGAAAAAACAATGCAAAAGAAGGCCAGGGGTATAGTTGTAAACAAGCATTTTACTTTAAAATTTATATAATGTATATCAATTTCTAATACAACAAACCAAACATTCAAAAAAATAATCTCTGCATAACTAATACCTGCATAACTAATCCCTGCATTACTTATCCCTGCATAACTAATCCCTGCATAACTAATACATGTATAACTAATACCTGCATAACTCTAACCGGCAACTAAACGACCCCTAAGGGAATAAAATATAGTACTTTACATAAAAATAAATTTCGTATGATCAAGAGTAGGTCTTTTAATTAATGTATTTTTCTAATCCAAGTAGAGTTTATTTGTTTATCCATAATTAAAAATTGGAGAGACAAATTCATTTCGATGTAGAGCCTCAACTTGTATTTATGCAAACAAATAAAATTTCAAGAGATAAGTTCATCATACTTAAAATTGTAAATTTAAAACTGTCTAGCAAGAATTTAAATCAAGCAATAATAGTTTTCACTTGATTTGTTATTCAAGTGTTTGACTCGCTTGAATTCAAATTGACTCTTTTAATAAATCGCAACCTAGCTACATTAAAACTTGAATTCAAGTGAGGATATTACGTGTTTGCTATTTTATAATAATAGAATATTTAAGATGTTAAACATTAGGAGTTCTTACATAATTCAAACAAAAAAAAAATATTCGAAACTTAAATTTAATTTCAAATCTAAACAATAGGAATCGATAAAATTTTAGTTAATTTCAAATTCTTAAATATCAGAAAAATAATTAAATGATAATTTTTGTCAAATATAAAATCTATTTATAAAGATAAAAATATTTAATGATTTGCAAAGAGAATTCATGCTTTTATCTTGAAAATCATGTCATTCCCCTAGTTTTGAATTAAAATTCATACATTTGAAACCTATAAGAGAATAATGTAGCTTGTTCTCAGCTAGAAAACTTGGATGGAAGAACCTCTTGTTTCATTGACTTTTGCCTTTAAAAGTATATTTTTTTTTTTGTCTTTTACCCATTCCAAGAGGGAAAACTTGAAATGAGAAAAAGAAAAAAATATTAAGACAGAGAAAAAGAAAAATCGACAATTTCTATGCTAAAATAAGATATGGAGAAAAAAAAAAGACTCCTAGATCTAAAAAGAATTGAAAGAGGGAGAAGATTTTACAAAATAATTTGATTATCGGGTATTATTATTTTTCCTTGACATATTTATTACTACCATTGTTTAAGTAAGGAAGATTTCTTATACAATTAGTTAGATTCGAAGTCCTAAAATTAGGAAAATAATTAAATGTCTTTTCCTAAATATTAGAAAAGTAATTAAATATTATTTTCTAAATAATAAGGTAATAGTAAAACGACTATTTTGCCTAGTGTGAGATTAATTTTTAAGGGTAAAAAAGGAGAACGACATTTCGCCAAGAGACTTCGTACTTTTAGTATAGTGTATAGATATATAATACGTTCATTTTTTTTTCAAGAGAGAAAATACTAATATTATCATTACCATCAACTTTCGTAGGAAACCTTATTCGAATTCAACTGTCAGTGCAAAAGTTATGGGTCTAACTGAAATCATAATTTTCGTTTATACTTTATATTTTTGTCTAAAAAATTACTAAATATATATAAGTTATAACAATAAATTTAAACTCATTAAATTAGATGAAATATGATAGAATTATGAATCTGAACCCATAAAGTTTTTGCTCGTTTTTGTAAGTCTTTATGCAAACCTGCCTCAGTTAACAACAAGACCATATTTGGAGAAATGATTAGCCAATGCCATGCACCATCTGTAGTATCCATGTGAGAGTTAATGTACTCATTAGAGGTGACAATTTGGGCCTAAACCTATTTGATCCGTTCAACCCTCCAAGGCTGGGCTGGTCACTGACCCGCTCATTTGTTAAACTCAATCTATCTTAACTCAATCCATTTTAGCCTACCTAAAGTTGGGTTGATTTTTAACCCAAATTATTCCATGAATTACTTTTCTAAAATAACTTTAAAATTATTTTTCTTGTGTGATATGTTATAGATGAACATAACAAAACAAAAAAAAGTCTTATTTGATAATTAAACAACTCATAAGAAAATAATATACATTAATTAAAACTTGGTAAAAGTTGGGTGGGTTGGGCTATGACCCACATTTTAGCCCAACTCCATTTCAACGCAAGTTACTAGTGCGGGACATCGACCCGCCCATTTATTGACTCATCCCATCTTGACCTGCTCAAAATCAGTCAAACCCCGTACTTTTGACACTTCTAATCCTCATCGATATTTGCTATTTTTCACTAGCACATGTACCGAATAAGCATCAAGACTTCGGTAGATAGAAAGAAATCACATAATTTTTTTTGTCGATGCTGATGTTAGAACAAGATATACCTCATAGTTTTCTTAGTTTCATTAACACTCAGCGACACATTTTGATGCAAGGACTAAATTCATATTTAGTCATACCATTGATATTTAGCGGCCGTATGTATATAGGTCGAAATCTGTCTCAGCATTTTAGTGCAAAGTAACCTTACGGAAAGAGACAGCCGAGGTCGATCAGGAAATAACAAGGCTCTTGGTCGGGATGCATACGATGGTCGAGGTCGAGTATCGCAAAAGAGCTGTAAAGGCTAGTTTATTAGAATAGGACATTGAAGAAAATATTCCAGTGGATAATCTCTATATATGTAATATTACGGTTTATTGGGGGTATGTCCCATATAAATAGAAACAAAAGGTCAATGAAAAGGGGCATGTAATATTCAATTGATAAGAACACTTTTTTAGAGGAAGATTCTCTCTCTCTAGCAAAGATACAAACTTTATCTTTTCATCAACATTCTTGCTTACAGATACGAGAATAGTCCAAACATTCTAGGATTTATCTGTCACTCATCATTTTCAGGGGGGACACTCATCATTTTCAGGGGGAACACATCTATATCATTCATTATTGGGTGAAACATTCCTCCTATTTACTTAAATTTTATTTGTTGTTATTTATAGATAGTTACTCCTTCATTATTGCTCACATCTGTTTGGATATTCATTAATTGTTATTATTAATTATCTGCCATATCTATCTACATGTTAACCACTTTTTCGGAGTTTGCATCTGGGGAAATTATTGTTAACTAAATTTAATCCTTCAATAAACAAGTATAATTGTTTTAACCGGAAGTTAACACTTTTTGGTCAAATAATTTGGCGCCGTCTATGGGGATTTCTTAGTTAATTTTTTTAGTTTTCTCTAGATTTATAACTAACACGGTCTGCTAACGTGAAAAAAAATAAGAACAAGATCCTCTTTCCTTGTATACACCGACCTAATATGGCAGGTAACAGAGAAGAAAGAATGAGGATAATGGGCGACCTCACAACCAACCTCTTGAACACCATCAACGAGATTTCTGAAGTAGAGGGCGAGGATATAACCCCCAATGCTTCCCCCAGGCGAGGCAGATCACCCCCTTCTCATTGCAGCATCACAACATCTCTCGGTAAATGAGCTTCCACGTCCGTGGTGGAAGAGACGCCTCCAGCAGTAAAAAAGCTCCTCCAAGCTCGGCTAACTGACACGCTGACCAGCATCCTCCACAAGCCCACTGAGGATACGATTGCAAAAAACGCAAGGACTTTTGTCATACCACCAGCGAGTGAGCAGCGTGACCTATTCCCTCCTCCGACGATAGGTATTTCTCATAATATCGTTAATAGTGCAGATGACGACACCCTCGTAGCCATTTTGAAAAAGATGGATGAAATGGACAACGAGATCACAGCACTTCGGGACCAAAAGAGAGAACATCACGAAAGGGTCGACAAAATACCAGGTACCCTGCCGGCTTGTCGAGCAACCATACAGTGATGAAGTCGCCCCGCATGCCATACCAAAGACCTTTAAAATACAACCCTACCTGAAAATATATGATGGTACGACCGATCTCGAAAACCATGTAACTCACTAGGTTACCGCCGTGAGAGGCAATGACCTCGCCAAGGAACAAGTATCCTCCATTTTGTTGAAAAAATTTGGCGAGGCCCTCACCGGAGGAGCATTAACATGGTATTCGCAGCTGCCCGCACGTTTCATTGAAACATTTGAAGAAATGGTCAACAAGTTCGTAACGGCCCATGCTGGGCCCAAAAAGGCAGAGGCGAGAGTGAACGATATATTCGCTATCAAACAGTCGCCGGGAGAAGGATTGAGGGACTTCCTCTCCCGATTCAACCGAGTAAGAATGACCCTACCAAATGTATCAGAAGGAATGGCCGTCGCAGATTTCCAGAACAGGCTGAGCAGAAATGGTTCGAGGGCGACAAAAAAGTTATTAAGTCAGTTTATTAAGTACCCCCCAACTACTTGGGATGAAATGCATAACGCATATTGTGCCGAGGTCCGAGCAGACGAGGACAGCCTCAATGGGCCAACTCATCGACTAACCTCGGTACAAGCCGAATCTAGAAAAGATCGAAGAAATGATATCAGGAGGGACCTCGTAGCTCCGCGACCCAACAAGGAACGACATTTACCATATGTTAGAATCGCAATTGCATCCTGTCAGCACCACGAAGAGGGCCCACCCCAACCAAGAACTGGGACTCACCTGAATGAAAGAGGTATGCCCATCTATTATCCACTCACAATTTTTATATGTCACCTACAGAAATAGTCTATGCCTTGGAGAAGCTCGGATCTAAGGTGAAATGGCCACAAAAGATGATGTTAGACCCGAATACCAGAAAATCAAATGCCCTTTGCGAGTTCCATCAAGAGCGAGCACACAAAATTGAGGATTGCATCACCGTAAGATAGGAGGTTGTAACATGCTACGACAAGGATACCTCAAAGAGTTGTTGAGCGACCGAGGAAGGACCAACTTCGCCAAAGGACGCGAACAACATCAAGGACCACCAAAACCGCCCTCACCAACTCGCACTGTCCACATGATCGTCGGCGGCATCGACGATGCTTCTATAAATAGCGTGAAGTTCACCACAACCCACAAGCTCAAACGGTCGATCACTCACGAATGGTATGACAAGCTCGAACAGAGTATCATCTTCGATAAGTTAGATACCGACGGTTTGGTGTTCCCTCACTATGATGCCCTTATTATCACTTTAGGAATTCTAGATGCCGATGTGAGACGCATTATGGTAGACGATGAGTGCAGCGAGTGCATTATCCACCCTCGAGTACTTGCACAAATGAAACTCGGGGATAAGATAGTGCCATGTTGCATCACACTAACGGGTTTTAGCAATGCAGTTGAGTGGACATCCGGAGAAATCATACTCCCCGTCCTGACTAGCGGCGTCACTTTGGAAACCATATTCTATATCATGGACTAGGACACAACATACAACGCCATAATAGGGCGGCCATGAATACACGCCATGAGAGCCATCCTCTCTAGCTTGTACCAAGTCATTAAATTCCTAATTCCATGGGGAATATTCAGCATTCGAGGGGAACAATGCACATCTCGGGAATGCTACCGCATTGCCCTAGATTGTACGGGCGCTCAATAAGCGAAGGGCAAAGAGAAAGAGGCATAGCAATCAATAGGGTCGAGGTCGATATACAGTGAAAGCGAGGACGTCATCAGAGACCTCGATGTGATAGAAGCCGCAGAATCGACCATTGAGGACCTCGACCCCGTTCAATTAGACATCAACGACCACAACAAGAAAGCTTACATTGGCTGCAAGTTTCAGGAACCAGGTAAATTTCGTCAATTATTAACTGATAACGCGGACTTGTTTGCTTTTAGCCATGCAGACATGCTAGGTATCCCTAAGGAAATCGCCATGCACAAGCTAAACGTCAACCCATTCCACCACAGTGAGGCAGGTTAGGCGTAAGTTCAACCTCGCAATAAATGACACAGTACGCGAAGAGGTCGAAAAATTATTGGAGAACGGCTCCGTCAGGGAGTCAAAATATCCTCAATGGGTCGCCAATGTGGTCATGGTGAAAAAGAAAAATGGGAAGTGGCCAATGTGCGAAGACTTTACAGATTTGAATAAAGCATGCCCCAAGGATTCATTTTCATTACCTCATATCGACTAACTCATCGATGCCACGTCCGGGCACGAACTACTGAGCTTCTTGGACGCCTACTCGGGCTATAATCAGATCCTCATGGAAGAAGAGGATCATGTGAAAACAACTTTCATCACCCATCAGGGGACGTACTGCTACAGAGTCATGGCCTTCGGACTGAAAAACACAGGGATTTTCAAAGACCAACTTGGTAAAACAATGGAGGTCTACATAGACATGCTAGTCAAGTCCAAAAGAAAGGAAAATCATATTGACCACCTGAGAGAGACCTTCGACATACTCATACAATACGGAATGAAAATGAACCCAGAAAACTATGCATTGAGTGTGGCCTCAGGAAAGTTCTTAGGTTTCCTAGTATCACAGCGAGGTATCAAGGTCAACCCCGATCAGATCAAAGCCATTGAAGGGATACCAGAGCACTTGACCACCAAAAAACAGGTTCAGAGATTGACTGGTCGCGTCGTTGCTCTTTCAAGATTCATCTTGCGATCATCGGATAGGTGTCACAAATTATTCAGCATGCTCAAGAAAGATAATGGCCTCCAATGGACTTCAGAGTGCGTTCAAGCCCTGAAGGAACTAAAAGCATACTTGTTGTCACTACCATTGCTTTGAAAACCCGAGCCGGGCTAATGTCTCCTCGTCTACCTCGCCGTATCCAAAGTGGCTGTGAGCGCAGTCCTGATCCGAAAAAGCAAAGGAGCGCAGCCTCCCATTGATTACATTAGCAAAGCATTAGTCGACATTGAGATGAGATACCCTCACCTTGAAAAACTGGTTCTGGCCTTGGTCGTAGCTTCATGAAAGCTTAGACCGTATTTCCAATAACCCCCCCCCCCCCAATTTCGGTCGTCACTACTTTCCCCTTGAGAAGCATTTTGCATAAACCTGAGCTATCAGGTAGGTTGGCCAAATAGGCCATCGAACTGAGCGAGCAAGATATCACATAGCACCGCGAACAACGATAAAGTCTCAAGTAATTGCAGACTTCATCGCCGATTTTAGTGCAAAAATAATGCCCGAAGTCGAAAGAGAAGCCGTCTATGCTTCTCCCCAAACACAAGACCTCTGGATCCAGACTAGGACTCGTACTCGAATTCCCCACCGGCGAAGTGATTCGCCAATCCATAAGGTGCCCCGACATGACTAACAACGAGGCCGAGTATGATGCCGTAATTGCAGGTTTAAAGCTAGCACTTAAATACGGAGCGAGACGGTTAAGACTACGCTGCGATTCTCAACTCGTTGTCAACCAAGTCACAGGGACTTTCCAGACAAAGAGCAAAGGTTAAAGAAATACCAGGCCGATATCTATAAGCTATTGTCTGAGTTCGAGGAATGTCAACTCGACCAAATCCCCCGAGCACAGAATACCGAGGCGGACGACCTCTCCAAACTAGCTGCAACCACCAAAAACATCACAGCCGGAGAGAGAAACATGGTCCACCTCCTCAATTCATCAATAGATCAAATCGAGGTAAGAAACATAAACCTGACTTGGGATTGGCGCAACTGTATTGTTACGTATTTGCAGGATGGCGTGCTCCCAGATGATAAAAAAGAAGCCAAGAAACTACGAATGCAAGCAGCCAGGTACAACATTATTCATAACGACCTATACAAGAGGCCGTATGGCGGTCCCCTAGCGAAATGATTAGGCCTAAATCAGACGCGGCGCGTCCTTGAAGAATTCCACGAAGGCCATTGCGGAGCTCATTCCGACAATCGAGCATTGGTCAGATACCTCATACGGACAGGATATTACTGGCCCACCATGAAAAAAGAGGTCACAGATTTCGTGAAAAATACGAGTAGTGTCAAAAGTACGCCCCAATGATCCACCAAGAAGGTGAGCACCTCCACTCAGTCACTTTTCCTTGGCCGTTCATAAAATGGGGAATGGACATCGTGGGACCTTTCCCGATGGGGAGAGGTAATGTACGATTTCTTTTGGTTTTAACTAACTATTTCTCTAAGTGGGTAGAAGCAGGAGCATTCGCCTAAATACGCGAATAGAAGTGATCGCCTTCATATGGATAAACATCACATACCGGTTCGGTCTCCCCAAAGAGATCAGCTGCGACAACGGACCACAATTTGTAGGGAAAAAGGTCGCTGAATTCTTGAATAATGGCATATCAAAAGAATACTCAACGCCATATCACCCTGCGGGTAACGGACAAGCGGAGTCCTCCAACAAGTCGATACTGAATATCATGAAGAAAAAACTCGAAGATGCCAAAGGTCTATGGCCAAAAATATTTCCAAGAGTACACTTGGCCTATCTAACAACGCCAAAAACAAGCACGGGAGAGACGCCATACTCGTTAATTTAACATTCTCAGTAACCTCGCCGCTCAAAGCATCTGCTTTGAATTGATATTCTTCGAGCTCGGAATGCAATAGACCACTTGGGTTTGGAGATTGCCGCATTGAGCTTCCACGACCTTGTTGACCTCGAGCTCATCTTCTTTGGTTCTCAACGTTCCCTCAAGAATGCTGCATATATCGATAACCCTCATCAGCTCGTCATCTTTCTCCTTCAATTCGTTCCGAATAGCCTAAAAATTTCCGCTCGCACCAAACCGCCTACAAATCTCTCGGTGGTTGCCATGGTAATCACGGTATTTTTGCTCCATCTTTAGAAAAAAGGCCTTACGCTTCTCCTCTCTCCGGGCGCTCTCAATTTCCAAAAACATAGTCTACAAAAAAGTAAAGGAAGAAGAAAACGAAAAGTAAAAATGGAGCACAAAAATGTTGACTTAAGAAACAAAAGTCAAAACGCTTACTCTAAGAGCGAGGCCGACTATGCTCCTTGATAGGGTAGCATCATCCAATTTTTCAGGGATTTTACCCTCCATGTCGGAACAGAGGGGATCAAGGAAGGAACCATGTTCTCCGTATTCACCAGCAAATCTCGATCCATAGGGATCTCAATGGTCCACGTGGACCCCTCCAATCTCACTTCGAGCTGGGTAAACACTTCCCCCATCATCTTCATCTCCTCGGCGTCTAGATCAGAACCCATCTCGTGCCCATCATCGGCAATGGCCTTACCTCTCACGTCGATCGGTGAAGAAGAACCATCAACTGGTCGCGAGGTCATTAGCTCATCTTGCCGTAAAGTATCAGAAACCTTCGCAGACTGCATATTGATTTTCGTTGTGGCATCAGGAAAAGACACGCCCTCTGCGGCCTTAGCCAAGGGCGAAATCTCGAACAACGACTGGACATCATCCTTGAGAACTTTGGTCGTCGTCTCGCGTATGACGTAATCGTTCATGTTCGAACTTATGGCTCGGGTAACCCCATCGCCCGCATCCACCGACCTTCTTTTATGGTGAACCAAATTTTCACTGCCCGGCAATGACTCCCCTTACTCGTCTACAAGATGATAAGTACCCGCAGGTGGAGAAGAAACCGGCGCAGAAGCAGCAGCAGATGGGGTCGACAACCGAGCGGACCTGGATGGGTTGAGGTTGGAACACAAGAAGATGATCGGGATGACCTAGATGTGGCAACAATAGGAACAGATTCCAAAGGAGAAGCAGCGTTCCTCTTATGAAATGCGGGAGGAGGAGCCTTCGGCCGCCTCGAAGATCCTTGAACTGAAAAAGAAAGATCGAAGGTTGTCAGTACCTATACAAAACTATAGCGAGCAAGCGACCACGATGTCAAAACAACAAAAATATATGAACTCACCGGCCAAGGAAAACGCATGCCCAAATTTCTTAAGAAAGGTCGGCTACTCACATATCCCTATAGTGAGAGGTAGAACCTGGCTAACCCAGTCATGGATATCCCCAACCAAAGGAGGGGACGTAGTCTTGGCTGCACGAAGAAAGGATAGAATTTCAAACTATGATTAAAACATTCAAATCAAACGCTCAACAAAAAATAGATACTTACGGGCGTAATTCCAAGTCTTAGGGAATCCGTTCGCATTGGCGACCACTTCCTCGGTTTTGACGAAGAAGTAGTTGAGCCAGAACTGACGATTTGTTTTGTCGTCCATCTTCACCACCAGGTATTTACTTCCTCGGTGGCGAAGGTGCAACATCGTCCCCCTACGGAAGTTAGGGGCGAAGAGATGCATCATATGTTGGAGTGTGATCTCGACCCCAGCCAACTCAGCATATTTCTTAAGCATCCTAATGAGCTTATAGATATATGGGGAGAGTTGGGCCGGGAAAACGCCGTAATAGCGGCAAAAGTCCTCTGTCAATGCGAGAAGGGAATGTATAGCCGACATAGAAAGGATATGCATAGAACGTGCAATATC